AAACACAGACGCTTTGACCTCTCTGCTCATCAAGGTCATGTCGAGCGCCTGTTTATTTCACTGACAAATGGTCATAATATATTTGGCGATTGATGCGGTAATGAATAACACAGTAGTGCACAAGTAAATCAGAGTAGAAAATGGATTGAATTGTCATTTAGGGTGGGAATATCTGTGTGTCATTTACATGCACGAGACATGACAGAAAGTCCTTTGGTTGGTGCATTCCCATCAAGGAGGGATTGTTATGAGTTAACAGCTTTGGATAATAGGATTCCAGCCATGGCCTTGGGATTTATGTGACCAGGGAGATTTTTGACTGTTGGAAGAAATTGGAAAAATAAAAATAAAAAACGACTGAATCGCTTTGCACCTTGTTTTTCTTCCAGGGCTCTTGTTTCACTCCAACAGCCCTGACAGTCAGACATGTCATCTCAGAACATCAGTAAAGGGCTGACAGCCAAAGGTGAAAAATAACACCTCTGTGTTCATTCATCAACAGTGTCCAGCCCCAAAAGAGCAGCCCGTTAACCACAACACACAGCTGGAGAAAACCTTCCTTATCAGATCATGATGGAACATCAGTTCTGAGCTAGTGTCCTGCAACACAGACATCCATCACAGTCCATAACACAGACTGTATGATCTATATCACAAGATCAAGCTTTTATTTGAAATCTTGTAAAAATGTACAGTTTCAAGACATGTCACCTATACATTTTAACAGGGGCGGACTTACCCATTAGGCAAAGGTAGGAGACCGCCTTGGGCCCCCAAAAGCCAAGGGCCCCCTAAAATGCTTTTCATATAGGAGATGCGCATTAAGTGCTGACACACGAACGGTTGCTGATTACGGTGTTTATTACCACGACAGCCGTCCAAGTTGAACATGCTTTTTGTGTATCCTGCTTGAAGGAGATGAAAATATCATGCTTCTGACTCACCCCTGGTTTAAACGCTCAATTGTGAGGTTTATCATTTTATAGTTTATTTTGTTTTTGTGAAAACCTGTATCTCAACTTGTAAATCAGTTGCTATTTCGTGGTCTACAACATAAAAGAAAGCCATTATAACATGTACATGAAAACTGTAGAAACATTGGACACAACTATGGGGCACCATTGTGCTGCAGCAAGCATCACAACAAAAAAGGAACCTCAAGGTTGATCTAGGAAAATGTGTGCAAAAAAAGACAGAGACCTGTACATAGCAAAACTTAATAGATTAAGCATAACAGATCCCTATAATGCCCCCGTGGTGCTTTTAATGTGTAGCCTATCAATAAAGGAACGGATAGATTTCCTGACCTGCAGTATCCTGATATCTACAACTAACGTACCTAATCAGCTTTCCCTCCTAACGTTACTCCGGAGACTCTTTAAAAACCTACAAAAGCCTGGAGGGGTACAAATGGATGCAATCTAATTTTTTGATGAATATTCAACCTGCTATGTCGTCACTGGAAGGGTAACGTTAAGTCAAATGTGTTGTTAGCTAACGTAATCGACCCTAGCTGTCCTTGTAGGTAGCCAGCATAGCTATATCACTGTGAGTACAGTAGACATCATAAATGTCATGAAATCTTACCCGTTTAATCCCAAATTTTGTGTTGGTTAGCATGTTTTATTGCAACCATTAAAATGAGCCATTTTAGTCGTCTATCGGGATCCTTAGGAATACGATAAAATGATTTCCCCTTTGATTTATGGGACAATCGCGTATATATATATATATATATATATATATGAAAATGCGCATTTTTGAATTAAAGATAACTTACAGATTTAATATGGGCTGCTTTTGGTAATTGACACTTTTTTTATTGGTCATTTTATGTGTTTTACGAATAACAAGATTGACTACAAGGTTAAGAAGCTTACTTAAATGTAAAATGTTTTTTCTCTATTTTGCAATAAAAGACGGCTTCCCTTATTGATCACGTCTCGGGTAGATTGCATGTTTTCTTGCACGGCAGGATGTTGGACTCATAAAAAATAATCACGTAGTTTGTAGTTGCCAAAACTGATTTACCGAAGTCAAAACACGGACGG